TTAGAATGCAGTATATTCAGAAAGAAAGAAGTTCTGGAGTGTTTTTCGTGTGTAGAAAATGGAGCCTTGCCTCAGAATTTATAGGCAATTATCAGAAGAGGTGTCTGGAAAAGGTGAATTTTCAGAAGAATACGCTGCCTGCCGCGGTTCTGCCGCGACCGCGGTTCTGCCGCAGAACCGCGGCCAGAGAGGCCCTCTGAACCTTCAGCAAGGTTCTGGCGTATTTTCAGCAGTGATTTGGCATTTAATTAGTTATTAAATAATTAAATAAATTTTGTCCAAAAATAATCTTATCGATCGATCATTTGACAAATCCAAATCCAAATCCAAAGCCAAAGCCGAGCCGAGCGAGCGACGACGACGCGAGGTTCATTCTCTTCAACTCCTTTTAAGAGCTTTAAGAAGTGATTCTATATATAAGCACACAAATGTGGTTGTCCCTCACCAATGAGGGACAAAGTGCAAGACAAAAGTTTATTTCTTCAAATTTTCAATTTCCCTCCATTTTGTTTCCCTCCATTTTCAATTCACACTTCTTCTAGTTTAAAGCCCAATGGCTTAAAGTCTAACATAATGGTTGTCAATTGTTCCATGAACTTCCTTCATGATTAAATTCTGGATTTAAGGTAAGTATTTTACTTTATTTTTCTCTTTTAGATTCTTGACATTCTATAATTTGATTTTAAATACGAGCAAAGACAATAAATTTTGATTATAACTCTAATGGAGTAGTAAGAAATTATAACCACTCAAAGTGGTAAAATAGTTATCCCTTGCCATGATTGTGGGCAAAGAATTGAAAATCCGTCCCATTGAATTTGCTCCATTCTCATTCCCTTAAGAGAATGTGATAGCAATATGTGATAAGTCTGAAAGAAGACAAAATTATTACCATGAAGGTATCAATGGATGTGGACGTGGCAATAGACGAAATTATAATCGTCATCATTGTGATAATGAGAATAATACGGATTCTCAAAATAATCTTTCACTCTGTGAAAAATATTTGTCATCGATTTGACATGAGATTTTGTAAAGCACATATAGATGATTATGGTCCATTCATGATGTGAATGTGACAACATCTGATTTATGAATACATATTCATTCTTCAAAGAATATGAACGTGCTAGTGGTAGTGAATATACCACACTTACCTCTAAAAGGAGGTTTGAGATGATATAAGAAAAAAAGTCATTATTATGGCATGAATGGTCATTGGTCACGTACCTATTGTACGCCAAAATATTTTGGCATTGTGATTGTTAAAAGACAACGGTAATGCAAGAAACAGATCTTGCATAAAATTTTGCCCACAATCATACATGAATTTGATCATGGCGAGGCATAAAAATTGATTGATTCTGATAAGAGGCTAAAGTATATTTAATAAGACTAGCTTCCAGTCACATGTTGCACGTGCATCTCACCCCGTGCGTCGTACGTACATTTTGTTTCGTGTGCTTCACGTGCATTTCGTGTCAATTAATAATTTTTCTTATAATTTATATACTTAAATTTTCAAAACCTGTGTGTGTGGGGTATATATAAAATAAAATTAAAAGAAAAAAAGTATAAGTTCAAACATCGAAGGATATACGCACACGAAGTTAAACCCAAAGTTACAAATATACTATAATTGCTAAGTATAACTTAGAGTGGAGCTAATTTTGTCATGACACAAAGATCTATTATAGTAGGAATTAGGAAGAAAATGGCCAAAATCATATGTAAGCCCCTAAACTTGTTCGGTTTTTTCTCTTAGACACCTTATCTAAGATTTGTTCCAATTGAACACTTACACTACTTAAAATTTATACCCATTAAACACTTTTTGCTGATATGGCATAGTGTGTGTGATACACCTACCCTAAGAGCGTGAGATATATTATTTTTAGTTTTTTTCTCTTTTTTTTTTAATCTCTTTCTTCTTCATTCTTCTTTGCCGTAACTTCTCCACCATCTATCACCATTGGCGTCGGCATCACCACCACCATAATCCACCTTTCTCATCTTTTTTCAGCCACCTCACCTCCTCCATGACTACCATCGTTTTATTTTAAGATCTACCATTAGCGCCGCTACCACACGGCTTCTTCCTCCTTTTTCGAACCAGCGCCACCAGATGCTGCCATCAGCGCTGCCACAACGGTACCACCACTCCAATCACCATTTTCTTCATCTTTTTCAGATCTGAAAACCACCACCACTCTCTCCTCCATTTTCGTTAATTCTGACAACCACCGCCATCTTGCTCGCCGGAAAAAATAGAGACTCATCATTGCCACCACTCTCTTTTCTATCCCCCTTCCTCTCTTCTTCCAGAAAATATTAGACCAAAAACTAAAAAAACTGAGATCAAAATTTACAAATGAGTTAAACCAAAAGAAAAAGAAAAAGAATATTTTGTTTAGAGACGCTGGCATATGGGCGTAGCAGAAGAATAGGGGAGGGAGGGTCTTGGTGGGGTTATTATTTTTCTTTTCTTTTTTTTTTGAAATATGTTTTAATTTTTTCCTCATAATACATTTTGTTAATTATTATTTTTTATCCAAAATGCCAAATGTCGTCAGTTAATTCGTCAATTTGCCACATCATTGGCGAGTGTATTACATTCTCTTTAGTTTTTAGCTGGCTATCAAAAAAGTATTTAATGGGTATAAATTTTAAGTAGTGTAAGTGTTCAATTGGAACAAATCTTAGATAAGGTGTCTAAGAGGAAAAACCGAACAAGTTTTGGGGGTTGCGTATGATTTTGGCCGAAGAAAATAGAAAAGGAGGTGAAGAAGGTATAGTATATAATTTCTTTTGTATTCTACAATGGCTGTAATAGTTGTATTAGTATCTTACATGTGCCAAATATGACCATTGACATATTCTTTCGCAGCCATGTAATAATTAATAATAATTTGGTTGCTAGCTCGCCTCCAAGATGTAGTCCATCGATTGTTGTACGACGTAGTTGCTTGTAAATGGCTTTATAATAAGGTGCCCAAAGACACTCTTCTCTATTTATGATGTCAAGTTTTTTTTTTCCTCATCTGATTAGTCTTTATGAATTTCCATTCTCACTAGCTTGTGTCCCATTTATGAAATTAATATGAGTAAAAAGTCGGAAAGACTTTAATGTCAACGAAGGAGTATAAAATTCAAAGACTCTAATTTCAACGAAAGAGTATAAAATTCAAAGATTTCAAAACGGGAGTAGAAATTACAAGGATTAGTCTCCCACATGCAAAATATAAGATGAAGACAGAAACAAATTAAGTTCCTTAAGCTTGTTATCTTTTTGTATACAAAAAATAAATTCTGCAACCTGTAAACAAACGGAAAACTATATATGGTAACGTTTATATCTAAAAAGATATTTTATTTTTCTTTCCATCGTTTTTCCTTCTTATGGAAGGAATATTTGTTGCTTCATATTTATTTCTCTTCTTCTCCCCTTCTGGAGAGATGAAGTAAATGTGATTCTGGTAGAATAAATATCATATGAATGGAAAATTCTTGCTTTTTATTTAAGTCTCTAACTTTTTCACATATTTGTAGGAGGAAACCAAATTGGTTCTGATTAAAGTAATGAGTAGTTAATAATAAGGGTAAAATAGGAAGAAAAAAAATATTATATTTGTCTTGATTTAGTATAATAGACAAGTAAAAGTAAAAATATATTTTTACTATAATTGACAAATAAAAAATGAACGGAGGGAATATTTGTGAATAAAGCTTCTCTGAATGTGCCAAGTTAATAAATTGATGAGATTGAAAAATAAGTGGTCCCAAGTGAGTGGCCACGTAAAAGTTTTGTCATGACAAAGATAAGAATAAAATCTTTTGACAGTGGCACTTTGCATTGATTCTTTTGTTTTTATTTTTATTTTCCTTTTTTTCTAAAGATGAACCAAAAATATTAGTTATATAAATAATAGGGAATATTGCAAAGAGAAACAAGATAACTATACTTAAAATAAATAAAAAAACTCCTGTTTACTGAGGCCTACTTCTTACAAGCTAAACTTCAGTAAAAGTATTTTTGAAACATTTCTTTCTTATCTTTTCAAAAATAAAATGTCAAGACTATTTTTTGTATTTTTTATTTTTATTAAAAGTTAGGTAAATTAAATATAACTAGACAAAAGACTAATGCGCAAAATAAAGGAAAATATTTTGTAGTTTTTATTTTTAAGATAAAAATCAAGCAAAAAATTAAAAATAGTTAAAATATCAATATTAGACCTAAAACAAACATCTAATCACTAAAATGTGTAAAATTTTAGGAAGGGTCAAAAATTACTTGTCTACAAAGACGCTAAAGTATATTTGATAAGACTAGTTTCTAGTCACAATGTTACACATCAATACCGTCCTGTGCATCATACGTACATTTTGTATCGTGCGTCTCATGTCAATTAGTAATTTTTTTTTTTACAAATCACATAGTTAAAATTCTCAAAACATGTGTGTGAGGTATATATAAAATAAAAGTAAAAAGGAAAAAAGTACAAGGTCAAACATTGAAGAATATATGTACACAAAGTTACACCCAAAATTACAAATATACTATAATTGCTAAGTATAACTTAGACGTGGAGCTAATTTTGCCATGATTCAAAGATCTATTATAGTAGAAATTAGGAAGAAAAGATAGAAAAGGAGGTGAAGAAGGAATAGTAAATAATTTCTTTTGTATTCTACAATGGATGTAGTAGTTGTAATAGCATCTTACATCTGCCAAATAAGGCCACTGACATATTCTTTTGCAACCTTGTAAATTGTAATTAATAATAATCTGCTGCTGGTTCGCCTCGAAGATGCAGTCCATCGATTATTATAATGTCACGATCCAATTCTATTATAGGTTGTGATGGCGCCTAGCGTCGTCGTTAGGCAAGCCGACAATGAACTAACCACCTGATTTCTCGTTTTAACAGATTTCCGAGTAATTAAACTTTCCTTAATTTAAAAGATTAAAGAAATAACAAATTTAAGATAAATAAAATGAAAGCAACTTAGTGCAATCATAACCATAAAAATAAAATAAAATCACAAGTCTACGAGTGTGTGTGCCAAGACCTGGTGTCATAAGTTTATAAACAACCAGTAGAATATACAACAAGAATGCTACTCTACTATCCGAAACAAAAATAGACAGGAAATAGGCAAAAGGAAGACTTCGGCTGCTGCAGAACGGCTCGGAAGGCAGCTCACAGTGAAGTCTCAAAGTGGTAATCAAGTATGTGCGCCGGACTGATATCCAGATACACCTACCTCAGATCCTGCATATTTAGTGCAGAAGTGTAGCGTGAGTACATAAACAACATGTACCCAGTAAGTATCGAGTCTAACCTCGAAGAAGTAGTGACAAGGGGTCGACTTCGACACTTACTATGGGCCAACAATATAATAATATGAAATTCTAATTAAACATGATATAAATAAATGATAATAGAACTCGGGGCAAGGAATAAATAAACAATCATTTCACCATTAGTAAGTACTAAATCATTTTCCTCATTTAGCCATTTAACCTTTCAAGCTAATGAAATAATATCAAATATAATAGGGCTTTCAGTATTATTACGCACAAATTATGCCGAGGACGTACGACCATCCAAATATACATATACATATACTGTGTGCACTGTCGAGGGTCGAACGATACGAACCATAGATGCATCTATTAACTTGCCGAGGCGAACGGCCCGCTCCAATGAGAGTAGTGGAAGTTTATCCCACTCGCGGAATATACTTGCAACGCGGTTGAACATAGATTATTCAAGTTATCATAATATCCCTCGATCCTTTCCAAAATAAGAAATTCAACTAGAAATTTTTAAAATCTTGAAATCCTCAACCTCCGCTCTATTCAAGGCAATTAATGAGCATAACCAAATAACGGTGTCAACAAAGCATGCTGTAATGGAAAGACTAGCCGGACATGAGCATGAATAGTAGCTACATAGGGACTCTCGTCACCTTGCGCGTACATAGCCCCCGCAAATAGAAGCACATATTTATTAAGTTCACCTATGGGGTTAATTCTCTCTTACAAGGATAGAAAAAAGACTTACCTCGTCTCAAAGCCTATTTTCCAGTCCAAGATTGTGCTCAAACCCTCAATTTGGTGTCAAACGACTCAAAATTAGTCAAATGTTATAAAAAATAGTCAATATATAATTAAAACTTCATATCCTTACTATGAAAGTGATTTCCCAATCCTATTTGAAGAATCCCAAAAATTCATCCCGGGCCCACGTGCCCGGATTCCGAAAATTTTCGTTACCTCATGGACCCGAATATATGGTTTTTACTAAGTTTCATAATAAATTTCGTGGTTAAATCCTATTTTTATCAAAACCCTAGGTTTTCACCTAAACTCATGATTTTCACTAATTTACATGTTATAATCTACCCATAAACTATGTATTTAACTCACAATTGGGTAGAAATTACTTACCTCAAAGTGTTAGATGAAATCCCCTCTCTAAGAGCTCCAAGAATCGCCCAACAATGGAATAAATGAGCCAAAAATGACTAAGTCCCGAATTAAATGGGATTCTGCCTTCTGCGATTTTCGCACCTGTGGAGGTTTGGCCGCCTATGGCTCCGCATCTGCGGAAATCTCATCGCGAATGCGGTCCTCCCTTGGCTGGCCTAAATCCGCATTTGCAGAAAGATGGCTCGCTTCTGCGATGCAGCTCCTGCGGCAAACGAGTCGCACTTGCGCTTTCTTCCGGTTCTGCGGTCGCACCTCGTCTTCTGTACATTGATCTCGACATAGTCGCTTGTAAATGGCTTTGTAATAAGGTGCCCAACGACACTCTTCTCTATTTGTAATGTCAAGCCTTTTTTTTTTTCTCATCTGATAACAGGTTAGTCTTTATAATGAATTGCTATTATCACTAGCTTGTGCCCCATTTACGACATTACAATGGTTAGAAAGGCATAAAGATTTTAATTTCAATAAAGGAGTAGAAAACTCAAAGATTTTAATCTCTAAAATGGAAGTAGAAATTACAAAGATTTAGTCTCTCAAGGGCATAATATAAGATGAACATAGAAATAAGATTAAGTTCCTTAAGCTTGTTATCTTTTTGTATTCAAAAAATAAACGGAAAAGGCCTAAAAATGCCACTCAACTTTCAGAAATGGTTTATCCATGCCATCCGTTAAAAAAATGTTCATTTCATGCCACTGCCGTTACACATTTGGCTCATCCATGCCATTATTGACTAACAACTCAATTTTTATTTGGCCCATCCATGCCACTGTCGTTAGTCAATAATTGGCATGGATGGGCCAAATGTGTAACGGCAGTGGCATGAAATGAGCATTTTTTTTAACGGATGGCATGGATAGACCATTTCTGAAAGTTGAGTAGCATTTTTAGGCCTTTTCCGAAAAATAAATTATGCAACCTATAAACAAAATGGAAACAGAAATGTAGAAGAGATAGAATTAAATCAAAGCCAACTGAATTCACAGTGAGTCCTTAAGAAACTTAATCCCCTCCTAATACTTGAGGTTGAGGATTAATTTCTCCTAGGATATAACGGATTAGCCTCACTGGTATAACGGTACTTTAAACACTAGTGTTCAGCGACCTCAATAAGGCAACAGCAAATTATACTTACTTTTTGTTTGTCAAAAGTAATACAAGAAGAAGGAAGAGGACTCAGAAATTTCACAAGGAAAATCTGAGAGAATGACAAGGTAATTATAGTCAATAGGTTGAGTTAAAACCGAAGAGTTGCAACTCTTCAAAAGTGGCTGTTTGCAAATGAATATTTATGCAAAATCGCCAATTTCGGATTTTAACGGAAAAATCAAAATGGAGAAAACTTAAATTACCATTACAAACGGTCAGAAAACGTTAATAAAATATTCATTTAACGAATAAGTTTGGTCCAAAAAATTAATTAGTCAAATCCAAAGTCGAGCAACAACGCGATGCTTGCTTTCTTCTCAACTCTTTAAGAGCTAGAAGTAGTGCAATTTTATATAAACTCATCAAATCGCTTTTCCTCCTCCAATATAGGATAATGTTCCTTTGTAAAGGAGGAAAATTTAAAATTTGGAAAAGGGCCTACACTATCCCTATGGTTTGCTCAATGACGTACTTTTTTGGATGAATAGATAGATGGAGGGTATTTATAGACCATTAGCAAACTGTAGGAGAACCGCTTAAAATTTTATTTTCTATCCATTTCCCCTTCACACCACTTTTAAGCCAAAAATCCAATAGAAGGCAGAGTAGAGTTGTGGTGTGTGATCGTGTAGTTATGCAGGGGCGGACCGAAAGTATTGAATACGGGTTTTCGGGAACCCAGTAACTCTCGCGTAGACTCTGTATTTATATTAAGAAATTCACTAAATGTTTGTAAATATTTAACTGTGAACCCAGTTATTATTGCATATTAATTTGAAATTAGGATAGGAACCCATAAACCTCAAATCCTGGATCCGCCTGTAGTTGTGGTTGTCCAAATATTTGTCATGGTGTTGAGTAGGGGATGAAATAGTGGTGTAATAGAATGATTCAGCATAAGTGGCGGTGGAAAATCAATGGAGAAATGGGCAGTTGGTGGTGGCTGTTCAACGGATGAAGGTGCTGTAGCGAGTTGGTTAAGTTTAACGGAAGATTTTACTTTTACTTTTAGTTTTAGGTTCTAGGGCCAAAACAATTTCATTAGGTATATTAGGGACCAAATGGATCAAAAGCCAATACATTAGGGACCATTTTGATCATTTTCCAAGCAAATATATATGTATGTTGTTCATAATTTTGCAGTATCCTTAGATTAAGAAGAGCGCCTTGCGTGCTGCCTGAGCAGAGCTTGCACTTGCACTTTTTTATTCGGGTTTGTTGTAATTTGAACCCGAAACCTCATGATTTTTAGCCCCTTTTATTGATTACTAGGACACATCCTTAAGTGCGAGCGAGCTTGAACTTGTACTCTTGTACTTAAACAAAGGCTCATAATATAAATGCATGGATAAGAATTGCATGGAATACAGTTAAAGTGTTTAGTGGAAGTTTCAGCTGCAAATAACACTGGATATTTCAAATTCTTGAGTAAAGGAAGAGAATATAAAGACAAGAGTGGCAAACATCAATGAAAAGGCCTAGAAATAACCTTCTGAGCAATTGACCAAGCCTTTTAATTCCCAAAACACTAAGTTTACTACATTTATGAGCTCATATATGATAATTAGTGAATTACTTGCGCAAATCCATGGTTAAGAGACGGGCAAATGTGAAAGCACTCAATCTCATCTAGAGCATAATTTCTTTAGGTATACATAAATCTGATTTGATAATTCTCTTCTCAAATAAAGGTATTGTATGTTGCTTTAGAAATTAAAGAAGAAATTAAAAGGATTACAACACACAACATTTTTGCATACACGTGATTAAGCAGGACACATCACAGAACCTAAACATGAGATTGCTTTCAATGCAAAACACTCTTGTTATTTCGACAATTAAATCTCACATAGGATTGAAGTGAAGAAAAGTCAGGATAGAGGGGGAGAAGGGGAACATCAGAAAACCTACGAAAATTTATGAGAAAACCTGGGAACATCAGGTCTGTTGACCATATATGTAGTAACACCGCGAACATGTCAACTCGTAACACTTTGCCCAGGATTTAGTACTACAACAACAACAAACCCTGTGAAATTCCACGCATGAGGTCTGGGAAGGGTATTGTGTACGTAGACCTTATCCCTACCTTATGAAGAAAGAGAGGTTATTTCCGATAGACCCTCAACTCAAGAACAGTGAAAAGGACACAATAAACAAATAATAACAACAATCGTCCTGGATTTAGTAATGTCTGGAACATTTATATATCTTCAGTGTTACTCTTTTTCCATATCAGTTGTATAACTTACTAGACAGGCAAATTGAAATTCATGTAAGAAATATTACAGTAAAGAAAAGAACAGAAATCTGGGACATAGAGAAATTTGCAAACAAGTTCGAGTTGAAGTGGAATTACATATTTATTCATTTAAATTAACAAATTATACAACAAGAGACCAGACTCTTATATACAACCAAAATTCTTATGAGATCAGAAGCGCCAGCACAGCCCTTCAAACAGAATACCTAAATTAACCTCTCTAAAAATACAAGCAAATACAAACAAGCCACCCCATCTTCAATGAAAGGGTTGAAGAACAACAATGGCTTGTAAAGATTGTTGTGACATGTACACAAGAAACTGCAATCTGATAACTATTTTCCGACGGACCCTTTCTTTTGACTATGATTTCTACAACAATGCCTTTAACTAATCTAATGGAGCTTCCCATTTGTTTAAGTCTTGATATGCAAAATTACCATGTGTCTATGTTGATGAGAGATAACATGTATCCTGTGAAATAGTCGAGGTATGCACCAAGTAGAATATGCACAAGTGGCACGGGTAACCACAATCTACATCTCAGAGTCCATTTGCATAAACAACTCTCTCCGCGGCCAATTTTCTTCACCATCTGATGTGAACAAGGAAACAGATATATCAGCCAGCTTCTTCCGGCTCAATCGAGACCTTGGAAACTTCGATTGCCTAGGAGCATTTGGCGCTTCAGCTTCATAGGAATCACTCCAATTCTTCATATCAGTAGCATTCTTGAAACCAACAGTCTTTCTTGGTGTGTTATATTCAAAATGCCATTTTTTTTGCAGCCAAAGTCTGTTCACTCATCAAACAAACAAACAGCTTATCAATACTTAAACCAATCAACCTTATTCAATTATAGTGTAATGGCAGTTAAATAGTAACTCTTACCGCTTCTCTTATTGCCGTTGATACATGAAACAACCTCTTTAGATCATCATGATCAACTCCACACACTATCCTTATCTGCAGAATAGAGACAGTAAGCACACCTTTTTCAACAATGCAATCCAGTGGGGAAACTTCACAACCAAAAACTTCTCATAATACAAATGTAAATAATGTGGAAATGAATTACACTATTTTACACCATTATAATTGTTTATGCTTTCCTTGAGCCGAAGTCTATTACAAACAACCTTTTTACCTCACACTAACCTCCACAAACTCCACTGTGGGGATTACAATCGGTAAGTTGTTGTTTTTGATTTGAACATCATTATAATATGGGTCAACCCATTTTCAACCCACCCATTTATCACGACCTAACCCCTTTTTGACCCACATGAAATATGGGAATTGGATATTGACCCGTTTTGTTCAACTCATCAAAACCCGCCCCGCCCATTTATCGCCCAACCCCATTTTGACCCGCATGAAATATGGACAGATAAATGTTGACCCAGTTTTATTCGAGCCATCCAAACCCGACCCAACTCGCCCATTTGCCACTTCTAAAGTACTGTGATGGGCAATTAGGAATCAATAAATTTAAGTACATAAACAGTCAGATACAGTAAACTAAGTTAAATTTCTGTACTTACCAGAATATCTTGAGGCAAAGCTTCAAGAGGAGACTTCACATTCACAGAACTGGAAAATGAATTCTGAGTGCAGAGTTTCTTGGTTGGTGTAGTAGAAATGAAATCATCAACATCTACAATTTCAGGCAAACAAACCCTTTTCCTCCCAAATGAAGTACTTCTCACAAGCCCTGCAAATCCCATATTTTCTTCACACTTCTTCCTCATTGCCATTTTCTTGAACTTTTTCGCACAGAACCCAACTCCAAGATCTGATATTTCCACCAAATCACACAATAAACAACTAATATTATCCAAAATCCAAAACCCAACTTCGAAAATTGACTAATTGAGATGGGTCAAGTTTAGTTTTTATATAAAGACAGTTGTCTACTGTTTTCTTGAGACTTAATTTTAAACTGGTAAAGGATACGTATCTAGAAAGGATTTTTATCTTGGCTAAGCAAAAGATTCTTGGTTAAATATGTGAGGGGAAAAAACTAGCCGTTGGGGATGTACACGTGGCAAAATGGGACAAGGAGAAAAGGAAATAACGTGGATGGTTCAAGTTGACGTGAGTAGATTGGTCGGTCCAAGTTGGATTGTCGGT